ATACCTTTGAAAACCCAAGAATTTCAGAGGTTCATCTTTTATCAATTTTGATGATTTATTGAACTGTAATTGTTATCCTTTGTTTCTGCTTTGACTTAATTTTGGTTCTTTTATCTCTAAGATCCTTACTTGGACACAGAACCTATCAATGTGCAGCCTGCCATAATCTATGAATGTTGAATCTGGTTTACCCTACCTTAAGGGTTACCTTGATTTATTGAACTTACTTGTACTGTTGTTTGATTCCTATAATCACAGTATCATAGTTGATCAATTCATTTTAGGGGTTTCTTTTAGATTAAAGATCAATCATTCTATTCTGCCTTCCATTCTTATGTTTTGCAAATTTATGTTTTGAAGAACATGTATGGCAATGATTTAGAAGATTTTAGTTTGAGTATCCTCTCTTTTTGTCTAATCAGTGTAGTTAAAGATAAAAATGCTCATAGGTCGGAGGTAAAAAGTATCTTGAGCCTTCAAGGACTTTAGAGAGCACTTTGTTTATGCTTGTTGTGTTTAGGAAAAGATTAGATAGATATATTGCATTAATTATCCATTACTTTATCATATATTAGGATGGATAATTCTAGCAGAAGATTTTATGGGTACATTTTTTGTTTGTATTCCTTTGTGACATGTATTATTGTGTGATAAAAAGTTAAACTTTTCATCACCTAATAAAAACACATCACGTAGAAATATAAACAAAATATGTTCTTGAAGCATTGGCTTTGATTAACAGTCAAAACTAGATCGTACTCAAACGATAATAAAGTATACTTCATACATAATACCATACCAGCTAACTAGACTGACTTAATGGACCAGTATAGTCCAAACCAAACTTAACCAAACCACTAAATTTCAATACAAATGGGCAGTTCATTAAGCTATTCCTATCGGGTACATTAACTTTGGAGTTCTTCATGCTTCATTTATATACTTGTTAGTAACCCTTTTTCCCACCAACTTGTACGACAGGTATTGCGTTTGTATCTTGATGAATTCAACCATTTCCGTGTCATCTGCAGTTTCCTCTAAAGTGGGAAACAAGACTGACTTCTTTTTTTGGGTTCTTGTTTGCTTACTACCTAAGTTCATTAAGAGACATACACTACACTGGGACTTGTATTTGATTGTTAAGGGTGTTGATAGGATTTCACAGCTTCTTCTAACTTTTGAACTGCGTAGAAAGACTGAGGTTTAGTTCTTCTCTGGCCATCTGCATCTCTGATCAGTATTGTCAGCATGGTTTTCTCTCAGATCATTTCTACCACAAAGTCTTACATGCCAAAATCCTTTACCAATGCTTTTCTTCTACCTCTTAGTCCTCCTGATGATCCCTCAGAGCAGGTTGAGTTGGACTTTTCTGATGTTTTTGGCCCTTTAAATGAACAACCTAGTATTGGGATATCCGAAAGTCCTACTGTTAGTGAGCTCGTATATGATGATCCTGAGGTTATCTGCAACCGATCACATTCTTTGGTGGGTCCCTCTTCGTTTGTGAGTCAATCTTTAAAACTTGGCCGGCTCACCCTTCATGAAACAGAAGCATCTGTGGATGTTTTGGAAAGTTTAACCATTGAAACAATTAAAGAAGATCAAACGATAGGCCTTGAAGATTTTGAAGTTATGAAACTCGTTGGACAGGGTGCGTTTGGAAAAGTTTTCCAGGTGAAAAAGAAGGGGACATCTGAAATCTATGCAATGAAGGTGATGAGGAAGGACAAGATTATGGAAAAGAACCATGCTGAGTACATGAAAGCAGAGAGGGATATCTTGACAAAGATAGATCATCCCTTTGTCGTCCAGCTTAGATATTCATTTCAGGTAACACTTAAATAACTAATTATCTCGGTTACATAGTGTCCCCCCACCCACAAGTAGAATAAATAAATTAAATAAATAAAGTAAAAGGTGTCCTTTTAATCTTATTCGTGCAGACCAAATACAGACTTTACCTTGTGCTAGACTTCATTAATGGTGGGCACCTATTCTTTCAGCTTTACCGTCAAGGTCTTTTCAGGTATCAGTAATATTTCATTTTTTGTCTTTTTATTACATTCATGTAAATTTGGTTATGATACATACTTGAATTATGTATCAGAGAGGATCTTGCACGCATATATACAGCAGAAATTGTATCAGCGGTGTCTCATCTTCATGAAAAGGGTATAATGCACAGGGATCTCAAACCAGAAAATATTTTGCTGGATGCAGATGGCCATGTATGCTCCCCTGCCTCCTCTATTCCCCCCTACTCCCTCTTCCTACAGGGTCTATTGGAAACTTGATAAATGATAAGGAAAGAAAATATAGGGGAAATTTGGAAGAAAAGAAAATTTGAGAAAACTCAAACATTTTGTTCAAACTCAATAAATTATTTTGATTTTTTTTTCAACACCTGCATGTGTAAAATTTATAAACATTAGTCATCTTTTTCCTTTGCATTTTTCATTGTAAAACCGATCACAAGAAACTAAACTTTCATTGACATTTTCCACACTTCTAGCGCTTTCCAGGATCCAAACATACCCTAGGGATGTCAACTTCGCTGTTGTTTTCATACAATTTACATTGTTTCAATGTCCCCTTGTGATTTTGGGTATATGGTGTTTTAGGCAATGCTGACTGACTTTGGTTTAGCAAAACAATTTGAGGCAGATAAGAGATCAAACTCCATGTGTGGAACGGTGGATTATATGTCACCTGAAATTATTCTTGGAAAAGGCCATGATAAGGCTGCTGACTGGTGGAGTGTAGGGATTTTGCTTTTTGAGATGCTTACTGGAAAGGTATATGCTATCAAATTTTATCGTCTTTAACAAGGAAAGGAACCTCACATTAAGTTTTTTAAAAATTAAAACACCTGCTGATGACTTTTTTTCCTGATTTTCAGCCTCCTTTTATTGGTAACAGAGAGAAAGTTCAACAGAAAATAATTAAGGAGAGAATCAAACTGCCAACATTTTTATCTAGTGAAGCACATTCTCTACTGAAAGGGGTAAGTTCAGTTCTATAAGAAAATTAAAAGTATTGTAACTGTATTTCACTACACACATAGAATGCCTTGGGTATTGCTATGTACTATTCTTTTCACTTTTTTACTTTCGCTCTTATGAAAGCAGGAACACAAAAAATACATTTGGAAGCAGCATCCTTTTTTGCTAATGATAATGATAATGATAATGATAATGATAATGATAATGATAATGATAATGATAATGATAATGATGATGATGAATGAAGCAACATCCTTTTTGCTATAGTTTCTGAAGGAAAACAGAAAAAATCATAAATATATGGAAATCCTATACAACAACATCCAAGCCTTAGTCCCAAAAGATATTGAGGTCGGCTAACATGAATCGATATATGATATCACCACCAAAAGGAAAAGAAAGAAAATAAAGATAAAAAAGATAAGCTATTATAAAAAAGATAATATGAAAAAGAGATGAATATACATAAGAAATCCTATAAGTATCTTATATAGTTGAATGTTTTAATTTAGAACGTTTTTATAAAATTTAATACGTAGTATAATTTTTCATACGTAGTAATAAATAGTACTCCATATGTAGTTATATACATAGTACATTATAGAAAGAATGACTCGATCATTATTAATCGGAAGTGGATGGACAAAAATAGTCTCAAATACCCCTAGCTTGCTTAACCTGAAAACTAAAACACGAAAGCCAAAGCAGGAAAGGTTACCCAACAAAATCTCTAGTTTACTAATTGATCGACAAACATATAATATATAGTTTGGTAGATGTAGAATGTGTCATGCTGTCACTGATGTTATTAATGCCCTCTTTTGTTTTGGGGGTTCTCCTTTCCATGACTGTAAAATACTTATGTAGCTTCTCCTGCCATACATTTTATTTAGCTACTGCAAAAGGACTCAAGCAAACGGATAGGCAGTGGGCCAAAGGGAAGTGATGAGATAAAGGGCCACAAATGGTTTAAGCCCATCAACTGGAAGAAACTGGAGGCAAGGGAAGTACAGCCCAGTTTCCGTCCTGAAGTTGCTGGAAAGCAGTGTATTGCAAATTTTGACAAGTGCTGGACTGATATGCCCCTGCAAGATTCCCCTGTTTCCAGCCCTAATTGTGATCTCTTTCAGGGATTCACCTACGTGAGACCCGCTGCCTCCTTCCTTCGGAGGAGCGGTAGCCCTCTCGGCTAGGTACCATAATCTGCTTCCTTCCTAGGGTATATACTACGTATAATAATAAGCTATACTATTGGATTTAGCATTGAATAATTGAGTTTGACCCTCGTAGTTGAATTTATGCTTTATTTTATTTCCCAACAATAAATTATGTGCTTGTATGAGATTCTATTTTATTTAATGTCCTTTTTCACTTTTTGCCTATAGATTGTCTAATTGTCCACAAATCTACTCTTGCATAGCAACTCAATTAGTATTTCAACATGATTAAAGTAGGGAAATGTCACATTTTCCCTTCTAGCGAAGTGAGATGTGGTGATCATTGATATGTTTACAACATGCTAAACTGCATAAGTTATTCTAGACATATAACTTATGGTAATGGTACCAAATCAACTATAAAAGAACACAGTCTATGGTTTATGTTGCACGATACATGGGATGTGATTTATTATATGCTATTTTAAATTAAAGCTCATCATGATCAAGTAAAGTATCATGCTCAAGTAAAGAGTCCATATCTGAAGCGCTCTTCTTCTTACAACTCCATCGACATTTAGTGGAGCAGAGAGAGTTGAACATTTTAAGCCTGTTAGAATGAAGAGCAATGATGCGTGATGCAGAAACCGCCTTTGAAAGAACTATCGCGTACCCATCATCCATGTAGTCTGTCCCATCGGGGAAGAGCTGCCACAGAAGGGCTCCACCACCGCTGCCACCGTTCTTTGTAGAGCTCAAGACCTTATGGTAGACAGTATTGAAAATGGCATCCCTGTATGTTGAATTGTATCCGGGGTCTTTTGTATTAACACCAAACTCGGCGAAAATGATCGGCATCCGCAGGTAGTTCTCAGCATCTTCAATGTGCGATTGCATCCATGATTTCGTGAACTCCACATGTGCTTCAGTGATGTCTTGTGAAATCCTTCAAACCAGGTGGAGGATCAAAATTAATAAATATAAACGCATAAATTCATATATAAAACTCCAAGCTACTATAATCTCCAAGAATCATATTATTATTGATAATAATAATAATAATCTATTACCAAGAATCGGGATAAATGTGGGCAGAGGCAAAGTCAATCCCGAGAGCTTGATGGTTTCTAATGAAATCAGTTCCAACTTGTTGAGCATAGGTGTTTGGGTTGAATTGAGTCCTGCTAGGTGTTGACGGGCCATAGAAACCCTCCGAACCAATCTCTACAAGATGTTTTGAGTCCATGCTCTTCACATAGACTGCCATTTCTTGTATCCAATTCTGCATTGATACATCTTGTGTCATATTTGGTTGTATTGCAAATTAAAATATTCAGTATAAGACATTGAGCCACTTCTTGTATATAAGACTGAAGAGCTATACATTTTTTCTCAAAAAACAACAATAAAAACCTGCAACGTATCTCCCGACGGGTCCGATTCACAACGGGGCTCATTTATCAGCTCCCATGCAAAAATGGTAGGATCGTCTTTGTATACAATGTTTGTGATGGTATTTACTCTGTTCAGCACAGCCTTAAGAGACATTGCGGGGGAGGGGGGGTCAAAACGTACACAATCAAATCATAAGCAGAAAAAAATATTATCTATGTGCATAAGTCTGTAAAAAGTGTATTACCTTAACATGAGATTTGTAGTATGCTTTGATAGTGGGATTTGAAAAGAAGTCATCATCAGAAGTAAGATTGAGGCCTGCATCTTTACCCCATTTAACATATTGCTTTTTGCCTCCATAGGGCTCCCAATTGTTAACAAAAGACAGTATAAGCCTCACACCATAGTTCTTTGCCTCACTCACCACAAAATCCAAACCCTGAAAACTCAAAATGGTGTGTGCTGAATATAATAACAATAACAACAATCTGAACAAGAAATGTGATATCACATACGCAAAGTACTTGAAACTGACAAAAACATAGTTTGGGGTTCTTACCATCTATGAAAGACTTAAAAAAGATTGATAAGATAACCATAGAATTAATTGAAAGGATGAAAATTAGACCTTGATGACAACTTCGTTATAAATCCGTGGGATAGAAAATTGATATAAATATATAAAGTCTTGAGTTATTTTCTCTACCTTGAAGACGAGTTCGTCATAGACCCCGGGAGATATCTGAAGAGCTCTCCACTGGCCATCATTGAAAGCCCAAGTGCGGCAGACGGTCATGCCAACAGAAGACGCCTGCTTAAACACATCACTCACTTTCCCTCTGGTCGACTCGTCTGCAGCAAACACCATCAACCAATATGTGTTGAACCCATTGACATAGAAGGGCTGCCCGTTCAATACAAACTGCCCGTTTCCATTCGTCTCAACCATCCCCCATTCTTCTCCCGCCATCTCACTCCTGCAAACAACCCCTTTGAGTAGCTCTCAATCAATAATAAGCAATAATAATTAAGCATGCATGCATGCACTACTTTAAGGGAAACAGTATAAACAGAAGCCCGGTGCACAACCCGCGAGGCCAGAGACTGAGGTAGGGTCCCACCGCAAGGGGTAAGCCTAACCAATCTTGTAAACATTTACAAGAGGTAGCTCTCAAGACTTAAACATGTGACCTCTCGGTCACACAACAACACTTTAACCTGTGTGATGAGGGTCATTGAAAGAAAACGATATACATGGCAAAAATTAATCGGGTCTTTTGTTACGTACCGAACACGATCTTCAAATCTATAATAATAACTAGGGTTACTGCTGTCCTTCAATGAATATGATGAGTCTAACATTGCTAAGAATAGTATACAGATAGCAGCCCTGAGAAACTGCATTTCACAACTAGTTTTGATGAGTTTATGCTTATTAGCCATTTCTCACAAGCTTACCTTCTCCAGATTCCACATTTGGGAAATTGAGCAGATCAATATATAGATAGGCCCATGTACAAAGCTAGCTAGCTTTTACTACATACTTACTATACGTATGAGCAACAATTAAGTTATTATTATTTTTTGTTGGATAGAATTGGCAAAGCAGAAACCTTCCATAGCTGCCTTTAAAGCAAAGATTCACCACATTCATCTTAACTCAACCATTCAGCAGATAATCACACAATGCTACGTTAAAAGGCGGGAAGTAGTGGCAGACCCAAAAGAATAATCGAAAGAGCTTTTAATGTGGACAAATTTATGAGTTACATAATACGCAGTATAATGTTACATAGATATATGTTACAATACTAAATTAACAAATTTCGTGTACTTCGTATTATGTATAGTTTGTTTTTCGCTCCATAAACTAAAATCATTTAAAATAGAATTTCAACCTTCTTTTCAGGTATTCCTTTCTTACTTCTTTCTAAAAATAACATACTTCATATTAAGTACTCCATCCGTCCCAAATTGAGAGTCCCTAATTTCCATTTTGGGATATCCCAAATTGATAGTACCATTTATTTATTTGACCAAGGTTTTATATAAAGTGTCCATTTTGACTTTTCTTTCAGTAGTAACTCAATTCCTTCAAAAGGGTAACTTTCTATAAAGGGGTACGTAGTTGGTTAAATTTATTCCACTTTTTTAACGTTTGTGCCAAAAAAGTATGAGACTATCAATATGATCGAGATGGAGAGTATTATGAATAGGCATGTTAGTTATATATTTCAAAATATTCTGGCATAACTAAGGAAATTAATTCAACAACTCTAGCTACTTTACAACTTAATTAATTTGTTGAAAGGTTATGCAATTTGTACACCAAGATATACACCAAATTGTGCACCAACTGTTATATACAAAATTTTCTTCTCACATATCAGACTGCCATGCAAATTCTCTAAGCATATACGCAAGTATACAAAGACAAGTATCTTGCCTTTGTGAGTCTCTGGGAATAAAAAATTGTCTGTATTTATTAGTTTACAAGTGTACTGGTATTGCCACTTGATTTATTTGCTTCAAAGGATAATAACCTCGGCACTTGGCAAGCAGCATGCAGGGAAATGTATCAAACTAGCTTGGAGTGAAAGCATCAACCTTGTTTCCTTTTTGCCATACATTGTCCATACATAAAATTAAAGTTATGTAATAGCATTGACTGAATACTTAACTTTAAACAATTATTATTGGAAAATCTAGTTTTTAAATGATGATTAACTTTAAATAATCATCATTAGAACCATTGTTGAGAGCTAGCTAGTACATTTATTAATAGGAGTTTTTAGCCCTGTAACTTTTGATTGTGCTTGTTTTTAGTTCCACAACTTTACTCTTTTGTATATTTGATCTTGTAACTAATGATTGTTTCTATATTTGAGGAGTCCTTCACCGGATCGCAAAATTCATCAATGACATCATCACTTGCGCCGCAAATAATACATTTCAGTGGGAAAATCTTTAACTAACTTGAATAAATTTATTATGATATAATTACTTGGAATGTTTTCAGTCTCAGACCAGACTAGACTTGTACAGTTATAAAATACACAGAGACCATACTTTTACCAGACTAGACAAGACCAGTTCAGAACATGCCAGACCAAACCATACCATAGCAGAAAATTCCAATTCAAGTAAAAACATCCTTACTTACATGACTAAGTCTGCAAGTATGTAAAATTATAGAACTAGAAATGGACATTTGCATAAATTATATGTCTAAGTTTACAATTTTCTCTAATTGGTATATTTACAAAGAATTTTTAATTGGTATATGGCCAATTTTCTCTAATTGGCCTGTTCTGAACTTCTCTAATTGGTATATTTAACGAGAAATATATACTTACAAAGAATTTCATGTAAAATGTGTTTATTTGGAATAATACTTTGATGGTCCCGGATAGGGGTAAAAGTCTAGAGGGGGGGGGGGGGGTGAATAGACTTTTAATGCTTTTCAAACTTTAAAAACGTTTTCCTTCTAAAAGAGTTGATCTATACTCCCTCCGTCCCCTTTTAAATGTCCCGTTTTACCATATTGGGATGTCCCTATTTAATTGTCTCATACCTTATTTGGTAAACTTTGTGTGGCTCAAAATCATTCTTACTTTATTCTTACTTTATCAATTAATATCGACCACACAAACTCACTTTTCTTAAAACCCGTGCCACCATCTCCCGTCCCATTTAAAAGGGGACGGAGGGAGTAGTCCTTGGAGAGATTTATAGATGCACAGCGGAAGTCTTTACCCTCTATGTAATCAGTGTATAACTACTTTCTGTTTTGGGAGAAGCTTGGACTTGAACAACAGGCAGTTGGCTTGGCAGTTGGCTTTAGCAGTTGGCTGGATGGCAGGGAACTGCTGAGGCAACTGCTTAAGAAATATTGAGTGTATGATGAAAGTGATGAAGATCAGTTTATAGGAATGATGAGGGAACTTTCTGAAGGTCTGGTTTAGTAAGGGTAAACAGAAGTTTTGCTGGAGCAGTGGGCTCAACAGTTGGGTGAAGATGAGGGAACTGCTGAGGCACCTGCTGGGTCTTTAAACTTTCAGAGATTAGTTTGAACAGAATTTTTGACACTGATGTTTATGAGTGTCTAGCAGTGTAGAGGTGTTCAAATGAAATAAGTATGCATGAGCAGAGGGCTCAGCAGTTGGCTGGTCACCAGGGGACTGCTGAGGCAACTGCTATACTTAGAAGGTTGATTTCTGGTTTTTAATAAAACAAGCCTTTTAGTGATATTGATGCACGTCTCTTGTGTGAAAGGTGGTTTCAAAGAAAGTGAGTAATTAAGCAATAGGATAAGCAGTTGGGTCAATTAAGACAACTGCTTAGGATGCTGCTGGCAAACTACAATCTTTATGTGAGAAGTGTTGGATGTGTGCTTTGTTGACTAAAATAAAATCAACACACGATGTATCCTGGTTCAGAGGTGGTGTAATCCTCCTACGTCCAGTCCCACCCTCTTTCAGATGGATTTTCACTAAAGTATTAAGCCCAATACACTTAGTGACAATCTAGCCTTTACAACACTTAGGCCTAGATTGAAGGTTTTTCACAATGAGTATAACACCACTCAAAGTTACTCAGTCCTTAGACTTTTCTCTAATGAACCAGTGAGGATCAAAAGGTACTCTATCTATCTAACCACATTGTAGGATCCGAACAATAGTTCTCCTAAGTGCTTACAACAATTTTGAAATTTTACAAGAAAGTTCTAACCTCCAACTAGGAACTAAACTTCTATGATTTAGCAATAAATAGCTTATAAACTGGAAGTTTAGTGAAGCATGAGTCCAAGCAGAGAGTAAAGTTTAGAATAGCACTTTCTCTTTTGCTAGATAGATCGTGAGTGCTCGTGGAAGAATTTCTCTACTTTGGATGCTCAAAGCCTTGGTTAGAAACTTTTGTTTCAGCCCATATTTATAGGCTTCTCCTGTGAATTAATTTCATCCGTTGGTTAGGATGAATTAATCTCTGACGTTGGTATGTATTGTACTATTGTCTTCTGGTGCTAGAGTATTTCTTCAGTATTTCCCTTGTCTCTAATAATTCAGCCGCTGAAGGATCACCTTAAAAACAGTCCTATGTGTGCGTTTTAATGCTCCGGACCCCAGTACTTGATTCGGTATTAAATACCGGTCAAGTTTTGTCTTAAATCATTTACATTAAATGTATTTGATTTTTCGAGCTTCTTTTCTTTAAAAATGTGACAATTAATCTTTGAGCTAAATGATATTTGCCGGTAGGACCTAAATATCCTATTAAGGTAAATAAATATTACCTTATTGCATTTTTACTTTTCCGGTAATAATTCTTTAGTCCCAAAAATTGAACAGTTATTTTTGTCACTTAAATTTAAATGCAAAGTGCAGTGGCATCATCAAAATCTTATCAAAATTGGGTACCTAAAAGACAAGTTTGGAATTGAACACACTATGCTGCTTACTTATTACGGAGTAAATAAGCAACTTGTAATTTTAAAGTAAATAGCTAACTATTAAAGCAAACAAACAAGCAGAACAACTAACCTATGCAAATTCCTCGAACTATACACATACAACACTTACGTTTATACTTAGAACCGGTTTGGTGACATTGTTTTCGGCTTATCAGACCTATGTTAGGCCCAAGAATTGATCTTGCAAACGGGCCAAAAAATTAGCATGCTTGAAGAAAATAAATGGCCCAAGTCAAAAGGAGGATACTCACATGAAGAGACAAGGGTTGATGAAGTCAAACAAGTGAGGAGGCAGACCAAAGATGATGGAGAAAAAAGGGAGGAAGTCGGTTCAGTTGGAAATGGCTACAAATCCGGAAAGCAGTTGCAAGGTAAAGGGGAGGAGCATCCAATAAATAGGCTGCAGAGTATCAAATGAAAGGGAGGAATGACCCACGATCAATATATTTGCTCTAAGAAGCTACTACTTGTGTATTGATCTTCTTCTTATCTTATTTCATATACCGATTTCTTATATGAGCCCAAATTAGTTGTTTATAATCGGATATATAGCAATCCTCAAAGTATTCTTTAGCTAGAACAATAATCATATTATTTTTCCTTTCCATCTTGATTCTTGTACGACGCTCATTACCTACCCTTCATTTAATTGATTGTTTGAATTAGCATAAAATTGCAAAAACACCTATCAATCAACTTTTTCACCAAACAAGTAAATTTTGATTCTGCACGCTAGATTGTGTAATAATAAGAAAAGGTAGGATTGAAATTATTTTTCTGACTATATGGGCTAAAATCATTGTAGAGGATCATTTTATCTATTTTTCATATAAGTTTTTCTTTATTTTATTTATTAATAAAATATATTTTAAATATAATTTTTTTCATAAATCAGCAGAATCTGTCAATCCAGCCACTTCAGTAAGAACTACATAAATTTCAACAAAATCAGCCAATACAATCGATTTGGTATTACTAAACGGGCTCTTAGACAATGGAAGCACCGATCGGCTCACCCCTTTGTTTGGCCCTTATTCCGAACTGATTACAAATCCCATTGATATCCCTATACCCTTATTTTCAACTAATGATCTTTATCGG